TTTTTTTTTTTTTTTTTTTTTTTTTTTGTAAAAATCTATTTTGAATCCTCGATAGGAGCAATGTAAATTTTCTGACATTCAAACCTTTTCTAGTTCACAAATCAGTCACCCTTGTCACAGTTATTGAAATTCCTCCACTTGCCACACCAGGACGGTGGAAAAAGCAGGCGGTGTCTTTGTTGCTGACCAGGCTTTTGATCGCCAGRGAAAATTTACTTACCTTCAGATGAGTGAGCAGAAAAAGAAATAACACTCCCTTTGATTTAGTTAGAAAAATGCAGACATTTGGATTCAGTGCAAACATACAACACTTGGTTGTTTTCTAGATGCAACCCTCGATTAACCTGTCTTTCCCCAGCTCAAAGTCTATTGAAAAACTGTGGATAGTTCTTTTTTGTTCCCGCTACAAAGAGCCATTGACTATATATTAAAATGATTGTTGAAAGGTATAAGTATGGTATTTAAAAGCAGAAAACCTTTGTGGCTTAATCAATTAAGCTAAGCAACATTTGTACAATATTTTAAACGATGCTTCGGCTCTTAGGAAAAAAAGAAGACCTCAAGAAACTTTAAAATATAGACGTCTTTGTGCGTGTATGTATAGATACAGTTACGTATGTGCCCATGAGTGTACATATATAAAACTGGCAAATTATTTATTTACTCAGTCGCCTGCATATTCATTAGCTCTAATTATTTTCTAGTAACGAAAACACCAAAAGCTCTCTAAGAATCTGACTCCTTATATTTCGCCTTTGTTCAGCCCTGCACTTGCCTCCTCCGCCGCTCAATCCGAGCCCCTCCAATTCCTAGTACCAAACAAAGAAACTTTAAACTCATCCTCTCTAATTAAAGCCGCTGCTAAGCAATCTGCAGCGCAGGTATTGGGGAGTCGGACCAGCAGCGCTGCTCCGCGAATTCTTCTCGGGTGAGAATTACCTCAATTTGAGAGGTGTAAAATGGCCATTGCGCCTAGAAAACAAACAAACAAACATCAACGACCATAAATAAACTTTGATACGCCTTGATGGAATGTTTCGCTGCAGTTTATCTGCAGACGCAGTGTGYCTGTGTTCGGTGCATGGAGATAGCTTTCAAAGCAGATCTATTATGTAATTTTCCTTGGATCTTGAGAGGCTTTAYAGGGTTTGGTAGGGTTTGGGGTTTTTTTTTTTAGAATAGTGGTGAGCTGAATCTACACGCTTGCGTTTATTCTACAAAATCTACTTGATGAAATTGCAATAGCTTATAGCAACAGGTATACCCGCTCTAGGGAGCGCCTGGGTGTGGACACAGTCTTAAGGCGGGTATCTCACTACTTTCTGTATTTGATGCCAAAATTAAGCGAAGGACAGAGTTGTTTGCCTTATTATGAAGTCTGCTGGGCGATGGCATTCGGAGAGCTAGAAAGTTAGGTAGTTCAGTGCTAGCCTGCCTCCCAGTGCAAGGGGAAAACAGTGATCATTTCAGGTCGGTGCAAAATATACGAGAAGGCAGACGAGGAGGTATTTTTAGGAAGTGTATCTAAATATACAGTGTAAGAGTGAATGTAAAAAAAAAAAAATGTTGTGGGTTGTAGAAGTTATCAAGTGGGATTTGCGGTGCGCTCTCTGCAGGAAACGAAAGCTGCTCCAGTTCAAAGCCACATGCACCAACGTGACATATAAGCCATTAAAATATCATCCTGACGGCTCATTTCTGCTTCATCATACATTCCCTAACTGCTTCCAGAAAGCAAGAAAAGAAGAAATGAAGGATGACCGCCTCGATGGAAGCGCCAAAGAGGTGCTGGGTTCTTAGGGGGGGGTTATTGTTTTCTTCTTTCATTCTTTCTTTCTTTTCCCTTCCCCTCCACCCCCACTTTTATTTTTGCCAGTTCAGAAATGAGGGGAAAGCTTCAACAGGTCGCAGGGGTAAGTGCCTGGGAGTAGGGGGTGCCTGTGCAGTCCGGGCAGCTGGCTAGCCCCCACTGCCTGCCCYAAGGGCTGAACGAGAGCTCCCTGTCGTCGGGGGGAGTCGGCGGGAGGAGGCTTGGCCACCCCGGGAAGAAGGGCTGGAACCCTGCGGTGCGGGGGGGGAGCAGCGCCTCGGCTGCCCCCCGCCCACGTGGGGCAGGGTCCCGGCAGCACCTCGGCGGGCGGGGGTGGGCGGAGGGCCAAGAGTCCGGGAGCCATCGGGGGGGGGGGGGGGGGGGTCCGGCACCCTCTGTCGGACGCCGGGAGCCGCGCCCGCCCCGCTGAATGCAAAGATGGACCTCGGACACACATTGCTGGAAGTCCGCGCGATGTAGGGCGGCGGAGGTCCGCGGAACAGGGCTGCGGGGTGCACGGAGCGGGGCGGAGGCGCTCCCGACCTGCACAGCGGCCAGGCTCGATTCGGACGGGCAAGCACCGGGACCAGACGGGTCCTGCGGCCGCCTAGGCAGGGCCAAGGGCCCGGGGCGGCGTGCAGAGGGGAACGAGCGCTGACAATGGTGAGCCCCGTGGGGAGGCGTCCCGGGGGACGCGCTCCCCGCCCAAAACCTCGCCCACCGCCTCGTCCGGTGCCACGGGGGCGCTCCGGGGGACCCGGCGCTTCGGCACCGCACGCCCTTCTTTATAGGCGGGTGCGGGTGGGACGGAGCCCAGGAGCTCGGCCGGCCCCCTCCGGCCTCTCCCCGCCTCCCCGCAGGCAGAGCCGGGGGGGCTGCTCAGGGAACTGGGTGCTGCCGCCAACTTCGCGTAGAGCCCGGGGAGGGGCTGCGACCCTGGACCCGGCCCCGTGGGGCCGTCCCGTGTCTGGAGCCGCCTGGGGAAGGGGAGATGCTCCCAAATCCCTGCCCAGGGCGATATATCCGAAGGTGACCTCTGACCCGAGCCCAACTCAGTGTGCCAGCCCCGGGCACGGGCACAGCGCCGACCGATGGGAACTGGCGTGGGCTTCCCGCCGACCCCTTTCCTATCACTCCTTTGTCACGCACGRTCCCTCAGTCCAGGGGAGCCCAGCCGGTTGGTCGGGCTTGTCTCGGGGCTCGCTCCACGAGGAGACGAGGAACTTTATTCTGCATCAAGCCCTTCCCGGGGAACGCTCCCTCCGCCCTGCGCTGCCGCGGAAAGTACAGGTTGCGTGACAAGCCGGYGGCGGCGGGGCACACGCCATCGCCGCTGCCGCCCACTCGGTCTGATTCACAATCCCGCCCGGGGCCGCCGGGATCCCGCGGGGCGGCGGCYGCTCCGGCCCCGCTCAGCCGCGCACCTTCGGCCCGGAGCGGGAGCGTTTGGGGAACGGGGGCGGGGCGGGTCCCATCGTAGCCCCAGCACGACACCGGGGGGGAACTGGTACCCCGGGCTAGCGCCCGATATCCCAACAGTCTGGGCGAGGGGACGTCCTCACCCTCCTGCTCCGCCGGAGGCACAGGGCKGATGAGAAAAGCGTGAGAGGTCGAGCCACAGTTTTAGCCAATATTTACTCTGAAATGCAGAACGGTTTTGCCTTCCTTTTTGTCATCTGGTAACCATTTGAAATATTAAATGCAGCGTGTTTTTTTTGTTTCGGGTTTTGGTTTTTTTGTTGT